GTTTTCATATATCCAAATTCCTGATTTCAGATTCTTTTTTAAGGATGCGCAAGAAATGGATGTAGTCAGTGTCTGTAGTAAATTCATCTCTTAAATAATTTGCATAAGCAACAGTTTTCTAGCAATATGATTTCATATTTAGATTTTACTCTTTGTAAACAATTATCACTTCGTTGGCTATTTGTGACGCATCTTTTCCTTTTTGTTTTAAAATTAATTTCTAATTCAAATGGGTTCAATTCCTTAAAATACCTTTTTTCCTTCAAATTGCATCGTAATTACGTAGTATGTCAAATTGAGAAATTTCGATAATTAATTAATCTTAATAAAATTCAATGATTTCATAGTTTATTGATTTCAAATTTCGATGATCAAAATACGCATCAAATATCGAAAAACATTTGTGATAACAAATTGATATATTAGAATGATTATTTTTCAGTTTAAAAAATTTTTGTTTAATAAAGAAAAGTGAATTGAGAAGCTTATCAAAAAAAAAAAAAACAAATAACACACGAGAATCTGGAAATTAAATTTATATCAAATCAAATCTTTGTTTTGATTTCAAATTTATATTCTACAAAATTTCAAACCAATTTGCTGCCAAAATCTCCTTTGCATATTTATTTTTTTAATTTAATGAACTCATTAACATTCCAATCTCGAAATGCAACCATTAAAATAAATTTACATACAAATATATCAGATTACACAATAAAATATTTGAAAGGGAATGAATTTAACGCAAAATGTGAAAAGGAAATTGAATTAAAAATCGACACTGAAATAGAATTAATGAAAATATGCAACAGATATATTTAGAAAATATGACTTCTCATACGTCTTCTTGAAATAAAACATAGCTTGTGGAAAAAATAAATAAATGAAATTTTAATCAAACAGTTTAACGGTTATCGATAATAAGAAATAGAAAAGAGCTTGACAAGTATGAGTGCAAAAATCAACAAATGGAAATTCCCCCCTCCCCACATTCAGGCGAACCAATTTGCATTTAAAAAATGATCAAAAAAGAAAAATATAATTTTAAAAAAGTTGCAAAATAGAAACGATTAATAAATTTATAACAAAAACGGAGAGCAAGAATGGAATTTAAATGGTTTCTAAATCCGCCTTATCACCAATGATTGTCAATCAATGATAACTCAAGCATTTTACTGATAAAGCTAAGGAATTAATTAATGTATTTTCACCGTGTAAATTCAATGCTTTATTGACTTATGTTCTCGGGAAAAATCAAAAAAATATGTCAAAATGATCAGGATATTTTTGTATTTAAGAAATTTTGTACTAATTAGAGTAAATTTATAAAGTAAAAATTTGCAATCTTATTTAGAATACGTTACGAATAAGTGATTAATTATACAGAAATAAAATAATTTTTTTTTAACGCCCTAAGTGATGAGTCATCATTTATCCAATTTCCAATACACTATCATGATCGATATC